GAGGCTAGGAGGGGTGGTCCCATGGCAGGCTGTCTTTGGAGACTAGCTAGCACACGGCCTTCTCCATCTGTAGCTATGCTTCTAGACTGCGTGGCTTCCAAAGCCACTGCAGCCGCAGGAGAAAGAGCTCAGGGTCCTACCAGATATTTCTAAGGTTCAGATCTGTGGTTCGTGTCACTTCCACCGACATTCTATTAGCCAGAATCTGGCTCCATAGCCTCCACCTGGCAGCAAAGGAGCCCAGCAAATGGAGGGGAGGGGCATAGCCATTTGCTGGGGGTGTCTCTGCCACGGGAACAAGGAAAAGCAAGTGGACAGGAAGCCGAGACCGATGCGCAAGTGGAAGTGTTGGTAAAGAATGTTCTGAATGTTTCAGAGACACCTGGGGGCATCCAAAAGCACAATGACGGTGATTAACGGGTGGCTGGGGAGCAGCTTAGGAGAAAGTTGCTTCCCTGGGGCTCAGCTTCAACGAGGTGTGCTCCCTGGGTCTGGGTGCCATGCTGGGCTCCTTCTCACCACTGATATGCAGCCTTGGTGCTCCACTATAGCTCTACCATTTGTGAAGATATTCTCTTGCTACTTGGAAAGTAGCCATTGCCCTAAGTCGCCTGAGTGACTTCTGCTACCTTGGACATCCCAACCCCCCCATAACCAACAATTAAAGGGTTAATGCTGGCACAGGAAGGATACTCTGGAACTCTGCAGTGCTACAGGGTGACATGCAGCACTTGCTGTGATTGATTGGGGCCCATGCTATATTTATTAGAGTTTTTTGAATCTCAGCCTTTATACCTGTCTCTTCATACACAGGGTCAGAGTTTGGAGAGGGCACCTGGAGGTGCTCCGCCATAGCATTCCCCCTTTTCCTGTCATCTTGGAAGCCTCTAAGCTCTTATTGCTGGGGCTTAAAGACTGTGGTTTTGGAGATGTGAGGGCTCTTGGCTATCATCCGGTTCATGGGATTTTAATTCCAGGCATCTGGAACTTAGAATAAATTCCTCTGTCCTCACTATGGCAATGGGGTTCACCTGCTTCTCCATCTCACACTTGTTACTCCCTTGGCCACTGTGCTACAGCCATGCCACCTTTCCTTCGAATAAGCTCACTCTGCCCAGGACCTTTGCACTGACTGGTTTTCCTCTTCTAGAATGATATACTCCCAATATTTGCCTGACTAAATCCTTCTCACCTTTCTGATTGCGAAGAGCTTGACCACTCATCTGTAAGCAATTTGCCCACAGCCTAGCAACTCTCTGTTTCACTATTCTGCCTGATTTTCTTAGCACACTTCCCACTATATAACGTTACCTTATTTTTGAAATTGTTAGTCTCCCCTCTAGAATATAAGCCCGAGAAAGACAAGGAATATATCATATATTTTTGATTCTCCTCATATCCCCAAGGCCTAGAACAGGGTCTGGGAGACAGTCACAGCTGAGCCCCCTGCTTGAATGGCAATTTTGTGCTAAATTAGAAAAAGAAAGCCCTCTATTGATATATTTTACCATCCTTTGCTGGAAGTGTTTCATAATCATTGTACAAACCTACCCTTGCTGTGACCTCTACACCTTGTATGCCCTTGCCTCTGCCCCCTCGGTGCTTGCTTGTTGAACGAGTGAATGGATGGATGGAGTTTGAGGACAGGAGCATCTGAAAACTAGTGTAGAGCTGTGTGGTGAGTGTGTGCACCTTTCTTGGTTGGCTGGATCATCTGCCCACTGATTTCACAGTGCTGGGCACAGAATCCCCTCATCACCAATAAGACTGTCAAGCACCCACTCATTGCGTTGGCTTGGGGCATTCGCACATGAATAAGATGTACGTTCTTGATTCAAGAAGCTGAGAGTCTAGAGGGTTAGGTGGTCAGGTGAGTGGATGGGACAATGCAGTGTCACAGTGGCTGCAACAGAAGACAGCCCAGGGTGCTCCTGGAGCACAGGACACCTGTGTCATCCAGAATAGTGAAGAAGGCTGTGAGGAGAGGTGATTGAGTTACAGCCCAAAGGAGGGAAAGGCTCTAACATTATTCAGTGCTCTTTAGAATTTACAGAGCCATGATCCTCGTGGCTCAGTCTCCAAGCAGTGCTGTGTTCAACAGCGAAAGGAAATTTCCAAATTCAAAGTCTTTAGTTGCGTTTCTTAAGCTCTGTGAAGGCAACGGGAATCCCTCTCCAACACTGCCGTCATCGTCTCCTTTCTGCTCCCTCCCTCTTTCACACTCTATTTCCCGGGAAGCTCCGCCCCACCTTGCAGCCCCTCTCCCCGCTTCACTCCCTCTGCTCCTAACTGTGAAGACAAACACAATCTCTTCCTCCTGGGGCCATTTCTTTCTCCCCCGGGGTCCAATAATGTACCCACTCTGTGACTCTCCAGCACAAAAGCCAGGGGAGACTTGTCCTTGGAGAGCAGCCGGGGCAAGGAACCACACATGTGCAGCCCGAGGAAGAAGAGAGGCTCAGAACACTCAGGCATTAATTATTTTGGCTTCATTACACTTATTTTTTAAACTACTATTATTCATCCGTTTTCCAGAGGAGGACATTGAAGCTTGGACAGCTCAAGTAACTTGCCCAAGATCCCACAGCTAGTAAGTTCCTGTTCTTGCTGCCATACTATCCTTCCCTCTGTCTTCCCATTTGCCCACTTCCCTGTCATTTCAACCCAAAGAGAAACTTCCCCCACACAGCCTCTGCCAAACACCTTGTCTTGGCCAAGCCCTCCATTGCACACTTTTATGAGGCTGTGTATTCCTTCACGGCACCTGTCACAGTCGTGCTTGTACATTTCTCTGGATGGTTAAAGGGCTAACATCTATCTCTAACATTAAACTGCAAGTTCTTAGAGGGAAGGGACACACACACACACACACACACACACAGATGCACACTGTTGTATTTCCAGTGAGTAAAACAACATCTGAGACATAGTAGGTGCTTGACGAATACTCGCTGAATGAAAGAATGAAGTGAACAACTGGACTTCAAATCCCTGTCTCCAAAAATCCAAGCTCTTTTCTGACATCATGAGTTGGTGTTCTCCACAAGGGGAGGGTGGCACGAAGGTCATTCCAGGTAGAGGAATTATCATGTGACCTGTTTGGGGAATTACAACAAGTGTTTTTTCTGGCAATAGTGGCGGTAGCTTGAATCTGGGCTATAGGTGGAGGGTGGCAGGAGCCGCAGAACTGTGGGCAAAGGCAAGGGCGAGATGATTAAAATACCTTGCATGCCTGGCCAAGGATCAGGGCTCACGGGGAACTACTGGGGGGTTTCAGCTGGGGTGTGTGTGTGTGTGTGTGTGTGTGAGACATGATCATAGTCACATTTAAGAGAGACCACTCTGCCTCCTGTTGAGTGTAGGGAGGAGAGAGGATCAGGGCAGAGCGGGTTGGTTAGGATAGTTCCACCAGGTTGGAGAAGATACAGTCCAGGACAGGGATATCAGCAGTGAGAAAAGAGAGACAGGAGGTATTACTCTCTGGTTTCAGGTGTAGGCACCTGGGCAGATGGTCTTGCCATCTCCAGAAGCAGAAAGCACTGAAGGGGGAGAGGGGCTGTTTAAGACTGAGCAGCCTGTCTCGGAAGCTGGGACACTTGCAGGTGTTGGTCCAGGTGACAGGTGGGGCCAGGGTGGAGGGTGCAGGGGGGGTTAGGAGGAGAGAGAGAGTAGGGAGGGGATGAGAAAGTCCAGTCCCTGTTTCTAGACCTCACCATACTGCAGGTGTCTGGGCCAGTAGGTTGCAGATGGAGCCTGTGACCTGCTCCTGTCTCATCAATTTCTCTCCCAGGTGCCTTCAGCTGAGCTTAACAGCAGCAGAGGGACTGGAATGTGGCGAATTCCACGTGTGGCTGGCGAAGTGCGCTAGGAGCTGGAACACTGTTCTCCGTCTCCACTGTTTTCCATCATTAGTTTTCTTTTTCTTTTTCCTGGTTTGGGCTTTGGGCCACCCATTCAAGTTTCAGTTTCCTCTTCTGTTAAACACTGAGATATTTATTTATCCACCCCTTGGAAGGTTACAAAAGAGACCGTGAAAGTGCCCTGCAAGGAGGAGGCTTCCAGCTCTCTGGGGGGCTCTCTTCATCCCCCCTTGTCTTCTGGGTTCATCCAAAATTATTCCCCAAAGGAAAAATCGCACAAGAATCGAGGGTTGTGGTGGGGAAAAGGACAGTCTGCTTGGAGGTCAAGTTAAGCCCCAGTGTCGGGATGGGATGAGGGAAGGGCTTGGGAGGACGGGTAAGGCGTGGGGGGGAGGCACTGTCTACTGCGCGCCTCTTCCTAGATGGCTTCTCGGAATCCCAGTATCGCCCAGAGGAGAAGGAATCATTATCCCATGCAGAGGCTGGGAAACCAAGACCCGGGAAAGTTACGTAGGGCGCGCAAGGTCTCGCAGCCAGGAATAAAGTCGGGACAGGGACTCCGGTCTCTGGGGAATCCAAGGCAGCGTCTGCAGCCTACGAGGGCTTTTTCCCCTAGCCGGTGCTCTTCCCCATCCCTACCCCTCCTCTTCCTTCCCCAAACGCGGCCAGGTTTAAGGCTCCAGGGCTGGGCCAAGCACCTTTTCCTCCTCTCAGGGCGAATTTTCCCGGTCCCGGGCTAGGGTCTGGCCCTAGGGCGCCTCTCAGACCTGAAGGTTCGCTCAGGACTAGGCGGGCGGGACGCCAGACCGGAGGGCGAGGGACAGCTGGGCAGTGCTGGCCCGCCGCTCCCGCCCCCGCCCCCTCGGTGGCGGCGCACTCTCCCCTTCTCCAGCTGCGAACCAGACACAGCCGCTACCTGGGACGCTTTGGTTTCCGGGAACAGTCCTGGCCTCCCAGGGGCACCAGCCGCCTCCTGTCCCCAGCGCCGGGACTCGAGGGGTGCAACGCGGCCATGGGCCGGGAGGCTCTTGAGGAGGCAAGAGGAGTCCCCTCGCTCTCCAGGGACCCGCGTAGAGCACGGTGAGCGCCCCCTGGGCTCCAGGGTCCCCTGGCTAAGGGGGGCGCACCCCTGGGGTGCCGGATGGGGCCGCCCGGGGGCGCAAGTCTGAAGTTGGGACGTCGCGCAGCCCGGCCCTGCAGCCGAGCCCGACATGCTGCCGCCGGAGTGCAACGGCACCGCGTCCCTGGGACGGTTGGGGCTGCAGCAGCCGGCGCAGGGGGACGCCATGGTGGGATCGGCGGGGGCGCTGCCGCTGGGGTCCGCACAGGTGGTCACCGCCAGCCTCCTGACCCTGCTCATCATCTGGACCCTGCTGGGCAACGTGCTGGTGTGCGCGGCCATTGTGCGCAGCCGCCACCTGCGAGCCAAGATGACCAATATCTTCATCGTGTCTCTGGCCGTGTCCCACCTCTTCGTGGCGCTGCTGGTCATGCCCTGGAAGGCGGTCACCGAGGTGGCAGCTTACTGGCCCTTTGGGGCATTTTGCGACGTTTGGGTGGCCTTCGACATCATGTGCTCCACTGCCTCCATCCTGAACCTGTGCATCATCAGCGTGGACCGCTACTGGGCCATCTCCAGGCCCTTCTGCTACGAGCGCAAGATGACCCAGCGTGTTGCCTTGGTCATGGTCGGCCTGGCTTGGACTTTGTCCATCCTCATCTCCATTCCAGTCCAGCTCAACTGGCACAGGGACAACTCAGGCTCCTGGGGTGGGGTGGACCTGCCATCCAGCTTGGCCAACGGGACGCCCTGGGAGGAAGCCGGGAAGCTGGAGGTGAGGGCGGAGAACTGTGACTCCAGCCTGAACGGCACTTACGCCATCTCCTCCTCTCCCATCAGCTTCTACATCCGGTGGCCCTCGTGATCGTGACCTACACGCGCATCTACTGCATTGCCCAGGCGCAGATCCATGGGATTTTGTCACTGGAGAGGGCTGTGGGGCATGTGCAGAGCTGTCGCAGATGCGCTGTCTGTGCGCCTGACACCAGCCTGCCAGCTTCCATCAGGAAGGAGACCAAGGTCCTCAAGACCCTGTCGGTGATCATGGGGGTCTTCGTGTGCTGCTGCTGGCTGCCCTTCTTCATCCTTAACTGTGTGGTTCCTTTCTGCAGCAGACACCCTGAGGGCCCGCGGGCCGGCTTCCCGTGCGTCAGCCAGATGACCTTCCACGTCTTCATCTAGTTGGGCTGGGCCAACTCCTCTCTCAACCCTGTCATCTATGCCTTCAACGCTGACTTCCAGAAGGTGTTTGCCCAGCTGCTGGGGTGCAGCCATCTCTGCCCCTGCACCCCGGTGGAGACAGTGAACATCAGCAATGAGCTTGTCTCATACAACCAAGACACCGTCTTCCACAAGGAGATCGCAGCTGCCTACGTCCACATGATCCCCAATGCGGTGACCCCCAGGGTCAGCGAGATGGACAATGAGGAGGAGGAGGAGGGCCCTTTAGATCGAATGCGCCAAATCTCTCAGACTTCCGCAGATGGCGACCATGCTGCAGAATCTGTCTGGGAGCTGGACTGTGAGCGGGAGATTTCATTAGGCAAATAACTCCTTTCACCCCAAATGGAGTCCATTAAACTACATAGGAAATGCCCTCATGGCTCTACACAACAAGCGCACACACACACACACACACACACACACACACACACATTTCCCATGCTGCTCAGTTTATTGCGTATTTCTGTGTCTCTGCAGTGGCCCTTGTGCTTAGAAACCTCACCCCATTGATTCGTAGTTGAAAAAATTGGCAGAGGCAGTTGGAATAAACTCAGTCAAATATACCCCGGCCTGGCAGCGATGGCCCAGTGACCCTGTTAGGGAGGAGAGAGTGGTGCTTGGCCCTGTCTCTTTTTTAAAAAGTAACACTTGGTCTTTAAATAATATACTTTCCCCTCCCTTCTTAAACAACAGCTTGTTCAGTGGCCTATTTGTGTTTGGGTTGGTTTTTAAACAACAGGTTCAGTGTGTGTGGCAGTGATGAGTAGGGTGTGGCTTTCCTGTGTCTTGCTTCCTGGTGGCTCTGTGCTTACGCAGTTTCTTCCTTCTGTGCTGGTGAGTGGACTTGCTATAGCTGAAGAAGTCTTCCTGGTTTGTTCTGGTGTCTGATAAACAAAAATTATGTGTATTGTGGGGAGATTATCTTTGTTTTGCCAGATTGGATTTCAGGATCGCTTCTGGAGAAACCACAGTGTGCATCCTTAAAATGCAGGGAAGATTTTCACTGGGTCTGGAAGCATGTGTTTATTTTCTTTACAGACAGTTAGTGGCCTTAAAGGTACACACAGGGAAAAGGACCTTAAAGAGCTTCTGATTTCTCAGGTGTCTTTTCTGTGCTGAGAGCTGGCTTCAGTGCCATGGCATTAGATACAGAGCTGTCAAGTCCAGATTTTTTTTTCTCATTTGGAATCTTTTTAAAATAACATAAGACAACTTTCCTGGTTCCTAGACAGATGCTAACAGTTCATTGAAAAGATCATCTAGAATAATAGCTCGATCTTTTCCATCTCAAATCTAGAGTATGTTTTAGAATGAAATGGCTTTTGAGAAACTGTGTTTTCTGAAGAGCTTTGAAATGTGTGAGTCAATATGCTTTTAAAAAGAAATCATGTTTTTAAATGGGTGCTTTCATTTGTGGACAACAGCAAATAGGGACATGCTTTTTAACTAAAATGAAGATGTCACAGATGACATGGAATTTGGAAATGAATGAAATTGGAGAATCTGTAGGTTGAGGTGTACAACAAAAGGGCCCAACGAACTCCAATCTTTTGTTTTTCCTCTGTGCAATGTGCACGGCTAAGGGGAGTGTTTTATTCCAGAACTGTTCTGGTTGAGAACACATTGTTACCATTGGATCTAAACGTGAGCACTGTTAATGGAAGAAAATGAAATGTGAATACGCACTTTCTTTCAAGTTCTTGCTTTGAAGCAATCTTATCAAGGACAGTTTCAATCAATTTTGGTCTCTTTAAGTACGATTTTATTGCTGGTCTTCTGTACAATATCTTGTTCACTGCAAAATGTGCAGTGCCTGGCACATAACACTTAATAAATATTTGTTGAATGAATATTTCTGGAACGGTGACATTGAAAGCAAATCCTATTTGGTACATCAATTTTTATATACAATTTTGTCAAACTGATACTGGAAACTGAGGTCTGTGTTTAGTTTTTGACCTCTTGTAAATTGATAGCTCAGTGTACCTTTGGGTAGCACACTGCTCTAGGATTCATGAAACGGCTGTGTGACCTTGAGTGAGTCAATTGACCTCTCTGGGCCTCACTCTCTGTCTGCATCTGTAAACTGAAAGACTTACAGCAGATCACTGTTTGCCAGATTGTACTTCGTGATGCAGATGTTAACGCGTGGGGTCTATGGTGACATAGATTCAGTAAACCCAGGTTCAATACCGATCTCTCTACAGGGCTTCTTAGAGCTTTTCCTGTGCATTATGCATTCCCAAAGTTGGGGAGAATTCTGCATCATTTGTTAATGTCTTTGACCTTGTGAATCCTTGTTTGGTGGAATTCCTATTACTGTCTCTCTGGAGTCCGCAGTTACAGGGAACATGGTTTGAGAACTGTGAGTCTAACTGATTTGGATGTCTCAAAAATACAGCTATTTTGTTCTAAAGAACAGGTTGTGATAAGCAAAATCTTCTGTGGTAATGCCGTTCTGCGCCCCCATTTATGTAAGTTCTGTGTTACAGAGAATGAATTATTTGATGACTTCGGAATTCCCTTCTGTAAAATATTGCTCACCATTCATTGTAATTATGTACACCTACTGTGTGCTAGGCACTGTCCTAGACGCTGGGAATATAGTCATCAATCCAATTCTCTGCTGTCTTAGAACTCACACTTTAGTTGGGGGCAGACAGGCCAATAAGCACTCCTGTGCGCTACTGTACCGCATCATACCATGTGTACTGACCATGACAGGCACTGCCGTGCAGTGATGATCTCTGTGATGCAAAATAAAAACGGAGCGAGTAGAGCGGTGAAGCTGCTATTTTATTTAGGGCGGTCAGGGGAGGCCCCTCCAAAGAGGCAAGATGATGAAGAGAGACCTGGATGAAGTAAGCGTTGGAATGATGCTAATGTCTAGGAGGAAGTGTGATCCAGCCACAGGGAATGGCAAGCGCAAAGGCCTGGAAACGAGGCTGTGCTTGGTGCACTCGGAGAATTGCGGTTGGCGGGCTGGGAAAGAGGAGTGTGCTGGGGTTAACGTGATGGCGATCATAATCCCTGCAGCCTCCGCAGAGAACTAGCTGGGTGTGACACGGGCACTAGCTCCTCTGACACTCACCCCTCTGATTACTTTCACTTTACAGATGAGGAAATGAAGCATTAGCAGGCTGGATACCTAGCCCCCGGTCACGCAGCTCAGGATCGGCAAAGCTTGACTTGAACCCAGGCAGCCTGACCATGAGGCCTTCGGTCTCAACTGCCCTTCGATGGTGAGAGAAGCTGCCAGGACATCCCCAGTGAGCACATGTGCTAATGCACAGATTGGAACACTCAGTTCATTTGGTGACTAAGTGGTTAATGGATTCCCATCCCCATGTCAATGTGTCAGCAGACTGCCACGCACAACTGCTCTGCGGATAGTTTGTGTTTGAGGGGACCACAGGATAATAGACAACATGGCCCTTACGTGGATGGGCCAAGTGCTTTCTTGGATTCTTATTTGATCTTCAGATTAACTTCACATATTATTATATTATTTGCCCATTTTACACATGAGGACACTGAGGCACAGAGGACCTTGAGGACAAGGTTAAGTTGCTTGTCCAAGGTCATGTGACAAGTAATTGGTGGACCAGGGCTCACAGTGATTCTAAACTGGGGGTGATTGTATGCACCCTGCCCCCACCTTGCCCCCCAGGGACATTTAGTGATGTCTGGAGATGTTTTTAGTTGTCACGACTGGGTGTGGGTGAGTAGAGGCAAAGGATGTTGCTAAACATCCTATAGTGCACAGGACAACTCCACCACAGAGAATTGCTGGCTGCAAATGCCCATATTGTGGTAGTTGTCCCGACCAAGGCTGATGGGCTTCAGGTCCCAGATGGCTGCCTGTAAAGCCACCCTGTCCAGGACTTGAAGCTGTACAGCCCTGAATTTGAATTTTAGCCTGAGCATTTATTAATTGTCTGAATTTGGGCACCTCTCTGAGCTTCAGCTTTGTTGTCTGAGCAATGGGCACATCAGTCCCAGAGGGTGTGTCCAACACAGAGTTTACATTTGTGTTGTTCTTTTTCTTTTCATTTAGAGAAGTCTGGCTTGATATATTTTAAGAGGATGTTGAAGTTCTTAGCTTGGGTAGAACTACATTGCTCTAGCAGCCAGGGCCCGTGAGAGCTGAGGCTTGGTCTGTCCTTCCCACCACTGTTTCTCAGGCTAGAACAGGATCTGGCCAAGAGTCAGAGCTCAACAAATGTCACTTGTCTCTCTGTCTCACACCACACACACAGAGACACCCCCCCCCACACACACACACGAGTCTCAGATACTTTATATAATGCACTTAGAATAATACCTGGCACATTGCTAGTACTCAATTCACTTTATAGAATGTAGTAGTCAGGCTTTGTTGTGATAATGCTGCATTAAAAAAATCCCCAAATCTCAATGCTAACAACGACAAACATTTCCTTCTCATATTCACAGGTCAGAGTGGCTCTCCAGGGCTATACTGGGCTTGGCTGGATTCAGATGGGCCTGGATCTAGGTAGTGACTGGGGTTCATATTTGCTTCATTTGGCTTTCTGCAGAGGATCAGGAAAGTGGCAGCAGCTACCTGAAGCATGCTCATCTCATGTCAGGTGAGGATCACACGAGACCATGTCAAACCATGAACATTTAATGTCTCTGCTTGGATGTGGTCTTCACTGGCACTCACATCCCATTGGCCAAAGCAAGTTCCATGGCCAAGCCAATGTCTGTGGGGTGGGGAAGTACACCACTTCCATAGAAGGGAGGGGAGAGCAAACGTTTGCTAAATAACAATACGATACTATAATCTACCAAATTTCATCAGACATTTCTGGAGTGTTTGATATCTGTCAGGAAGTGCTCCATGAACCAGGGATTCGGAGGTGAATCAGATAGCATCTCTGCCCTCAAGGGCGCCCTCACTGCATAGTGTGTTCACTGCAAGGACAGAGTTGCCCCAGGACATCTTAACCCTTCCCGGGGGCCAGGAAGAACTATGTCAATTCTCAAAATCTCCCCATAATGCAGCTTCTCATACAAGGAAATTGAGACTAAGGGAGGTTAAGTCATTTTCTTTTACTCTCACAGCTTAAAAAAATGGCTGGACCTAGAACCGAGCCCTGGTGCAATTGTCCCAAGGTTCTGCTCTTAGTGTGACCACTCTGGACTCAAGTTAGTAGGCAGAGACAGCAGAATTGAGCTGCAAACTGACTGAAACTCCCGTGTTTCGGGAGGAGCTGGTCTTTGGTCCCGCGTCCACATGTGTGCGAGCTCTGGCGGAGGCACCTGCAGGCCTAGACCTTCACAGCCAGACTAGTGACTGCGACAATCTGAAGGGAAGATTCAAGCCATCACT